ACAGAGGGAAAATTAGGCCTGTTATTCACCCTAGGAAAAAAAAAATATGTTTCGTATAGGGAATAGTCGTTGGTCGCCTTCCGAAGCTTCCATCTGCATACCTAATACACCCCGAGGGAGAGAGAGGGAGGTTGGAGGGAGAGGGAGAGGGAGAGAGGTTGGAGGGAGAGGGAGAGGGAGGGAGGTTTAAGGGAGATTGAGGGAGAGAGAGGGAGGTGTAAGGCGTAGATTCTGGGTGCTGGTATTTGCTTTTCCCTCCAACAAGGTGAATTATCTCTCATATTATTGACAAAGAAAACGTAAAAAAAGATAACTATTTGTGTAGGTAAACAGGAAAGATAATCGAAAAATTATTTGTTTATTTAAGTGTTTGTTGGTGAATTATGATAGGAAAGAAATATAATTGTTATGAGGATGTGGAGAATGTTTTTGTTGTATGTGTAATATTCTCTCTCTCTCTCTCTCTCGTGTACCCTAGCCTGACCTTCCTTTTCTCTCCCCATCTCCTTAAGACAAGAATACCTCCCTAAACACCTCCCCATCTCCCCAACTTTTGCCTAAGTAATCTTCTCAGTCAGTGAAGGTATATCGCCCCTCACTTTGGCATCTTTTCTCCTCACACCTCCTTCCTCTTCTCCTCCTTCTTTTCTCCTTATTTCCTTCCCTCCAGTAAAAGATGACTCCCTTGCTAACACCCCCCCAATTCCTCCACTCTCCACGCACGCCCTCCACTCTCCACGCCCCACTCCTCATTCTTCCCTACCTTCAAGGATTACCCTCTCTCTGCCCTCCCCTTCACTGAACCAAAAACACCCTCCCCCCTCTCTTCCAACTCATGTCTCTCCCTCTCTCTCTCCCTCGTTATCTCCCTGCACTCTCCCACCTGCCCCCTCTCACCCCTCTCACCCTCTCCTGCCTTTAGATTTACTCCCTGTTTCTGTCCTTCTCCCTATCATCCTCTCTCCCTTCCCTCCCCGTCAGTCCCCCTCCCATCCCACCTTTATCCCCTCTCCCTCTTCTCTTTCCCCTCTGTGATAAAGATCAGGAGGCAACTGTATACCTAATCTAATTATTTTATAGCATGTATTTTATATATATTTTTATCACATTTTTAATTTCCTATCGTATTTTATTCTATTATTTATATTTTATTAATTTTGTGTAACTAATTTGTACAGTCGCCAGCACTTACATCTGGTACAGTGGCTGGTACGTTTTGTGAGAAGTGGCAACTCTGTGTTTGTTTACATCGTATTAAAACTCCTGGGATGGCCCTAAGGAACCTTGTAATAGTAGCCAGACTAAGGATGCTAGATAAACAAATACATAGTTGCCATATCTCACAAAATGTACCAGGTGTAAATGCAGGCGACTGTACATACACTCCAGCAAGTATCTTTATGGTTGGGTTCGATAAATTTCAAAATGAACACTGCGACTCCCGTTGTCTCAGTAGGGTTGTCAAAATCATTCGTCTGTTGTGTCAAATTGTTTCACACAGACCCATAAAGATACTTTTTTGGGTGTGTGTTCATCTATCAACACCTGTATCATTTTACTGTCCATCTGTAATATCTCTATGGCAAATTTCCCACTAATAAATCTTCCTTGAAAGAATAATTATTATCCAATCCAGGTTTTTGTGACTTATTGAAGAAAAAAGACTAAAAATTCTCCATCTTTTTTATTATATGTTTTTTATCAGTTTGTAATTCACTGACACTTAACTCTGTTTGACAACACTATTATAATCATGGCGATGGCTGAACACCCACATCAGAGCACTAGTGACGTGGCTGAACACACACATCAGAGCACTAGTGACGTGGCTGAACACACACATGAAAGCATAAGTAACGTGGCTCTTCAAGACAGGTAATAAAGATGAACTTGACTAAATAGGGAGAAAATAAAATACAGTAATGGAGTTAAAAAATATGTCATCAAAGGCTTCGTGTGTCCTATAAAAACTGAGCTGAATCCTATAAGCGTCGCTCCTTAATAACAGAGAAAAAAATAGAAAATAAAATTGGTACAAATTATAAACTTGTACAGACATCAAAAGAGAGTGTGTGTGTCACGCCCCTCTCCCCCTTCCACCTTCCCCTCTCCCTCCTCCACTTCCCCTTCCACCTCTCCTCTCTACACCTCTCCTCCCTCCACCTCATCCCCCCTTTACCTCCCACTTGCCCCCCCCCTCCACACAAACCTGATCAGGAGAAAATTCGGAAAAATTGAATAAAATAACAAACTCGGTTGATGAATCAAAGGACCAGGAGCTTAGGCCTCTTACCCGCGTCTCTCTGAAATTGTTGATGACTGACGTGGTCCCTGGTGGTCCCTCGTGGTCCCTGGTGGTCTCTTGTAGTCCCTGGTGGTCCCTCGTGGTCCTTGGTGGTCCCTCGTGGTCCCTGTTGGTCGCTTGTGGTCTCGGGTGTCATCCTCCGTGGTCCCTCGTGATCTCTTGTGGTCCGTCGTGGTATCAGGTGGTCCTTCGTGGTCTCTTGTGGTCCCTCGTGGTCTCTGGTGGTCCTCCGTGGTCCCTCGTGGTCTCTGGTGGCCCCTCGTAGTTTCTGGTGGTTCTTTGTGGTCTCTGATGGTCCACCGTGGTCCCTCGTGCTCTCGGGTGTGGTCCTCCGTGGTCCCTCGTGATCTCTGGTAGTCCCCCATGGTCCCTCATGTTCCCTCGTGATTGCTAGTGGTCCTCCGTGGTCCCTCATTATCCCTCGTGGTCTTGGGTGTGGTCCTCCGTTGTCTCTGGTGGTCCTCTGTGGTCCCTGGTTATCCCTCTTGGTCTCGGTGTGGTCCCGGCGGTTCCTGGAGTTCTCTGGGGGTCCTGGTGGTCTCTGAAGGTCCCTGGTGGTCCCTGAAGTTCTATGGGGGTTCTGGTGGTCCCTGAAGGTACCCGGTGATTCCTGAATATGCCTGGTGGTCCTCGAAGGTGTCTGGTGGTCCCTGAAAGTCCCTTGTGGTCTCTTAAGATCCCTGGTTCTCCCTGAAGGTCCCCGGTAGTCCCTGAACATCCATGGTGGTCCCTGAAGGTTTCCGGTGGTCCCTAAATATCTCTCAGGTCCCTGGTGGTCCTTGAAGGTCCCCGGTGGTTCGTAGTGGTCCCAGTTAGTTCTGCATAGTAGATTGTTGTGAGTGTGGTAACTCCGAGACACTTTATACATGAGTGGAGAAAACCCAAAGGAAAATAGTAATCATTAGAACTTTAACATTCACTTTTATTAACTATATTTTGACGTTATATGACCCTTGAAGTGTAAGTATTAACTATACACTCGATACTGAACCACGGTGCAAGGGAAGTGTCTCGACATTCAGAACTCCCTCACCTTTTGACTTGATACGGAATGAATAATGCAAAGGAGACTATCAAGGAACATCTAATATTACCCACTATCTCGCCTCTCAGTCTGGCCAGCGTCGATCTTCATCTCTCGTCACATAACTCAGCCATTCCACAGGATCGCTAGATGATCTTTGTAGCAATAGCTTTTAAATCATTGATGAAATATAAGAACGTGTTGAAATTTTAGGATGTTGCTCGTGTTGTATTTAAAGTGTTTCGTATATGGAAAACAATAATCGTTTCGTGCACAAGTGTAAGAATGCTTTAAGTATAACATGTTAACAGGTGTGGAATAGTGAACACTGAATTAATCATTTGGATCTGGACACAGAACCTGTACTTTTAAAAGCTCTTCCAATTTTGTTTTATGAATTTCCAAAGTTAGTGTGGCAGTTTTAGCATTAATTAGATGTAAAATGCTTGTAGTGCAGAGGCGTTGTTCATTACGTATTCAAATATGCCTTAGAGATGCAAAAAAGAACATGGTTAGCGAACAATTTTATTTTGGAGGCTGAAGGTACAAAAAAAAATACATTTTATAAAAAGTAAAATATTGTATAATGATTTTTTGGTGCTTCATTGTTGATGTGTTAGAGAGAGTCTACCGCTTCTGCCATAACACGGATGACTGAAGACTGAACAGTGAACATAGCTTCTTCATCGAGGAGATCTTCGTACACTTTTGTGGTGATCTGTAACTTGAATGGATTCTTCAAAAAAATTATCTCGTGTGGAAAAGTATTGTCAGTTAGTAAGTAAATAAAGAGGTAGAAAAGGCGTCGGGAACTGCTCTCTCTCTCTCTCTCTCTCTCTCTCTCTCTCTCTCTCTCTCTCTCTCTCTCTCTCTCTCTCTCAACTGCCCTCCAACGGATGGCGGCGCTCCCAGGGACCCTCACACGGGCGTCGACGACAACAGGAGGCCTCTCAGGGGTGCCGACGCCCCCATGGGCACTCCCAGTGACATTGGCTCCCACGTAGACCATCCCAGGGACCCTCCCAGGGGCGGAGATGACCCCAGGGGGTTTCTCCAGGGGTGGGGTCGCCCCCAGGGGGTCTTTCCAAGGGGGAGGCAGGGGGGCTCTCCAGGAGCTGCCCCCCCAGGAGCCTCGTCAGGGGGCCTCCTCAGAGGCGGCACCCCCAGGGACCTCCCAGGGGCGGTGACCCATGGATGGTGGCCCCAGGGGGCCTCCCTAAGAGCGGTGACCTCAGATGGCCTCCCCAGGTGCAGCGCCCCGAGGTGCCTCCCCAGGGGCGGCTCCCCCAGAAACGGTAACGCACCTAGCAGCCCTTCCATGGACAGGGACGACACCAGGGGCCTTCCCAGGGACAGCAGCGCACCCAAGGGCCTTCCCAGGGATCGCGGTGCCCCAAGGGGCTCTGTCAGGCACAGTGGCGCCCCCAGGGGATCTCTAAGGGTTGTTGGCGCCCAAAGGGACCATGCCGGAGGCGTGGCGCCCTCAGGGGCCCTTCCAGGGATGATGATGCCCCCAGGAGCCCTCCCAGGGACAGGACGCCCCCAGGAACCATCCCAAGGACCGCAGCACTCCCAGGGGCTCTCCCAGTGGCGATGGCGCCCCCAGAGACAATGCCAGGAACCTTAGCGTCCCCTAGAACAGGGGTGTAGCCAGGGACCATCCCAGAGACCATGCCGACCCCAGGGTCCCTCCCAGGGGCATCGGCGTATACAGGTGCCCTCCCAAGGACAGCGGCACTCCTAGAGGCCTTCCCAGGGTCGGTGGCACCCCTAGGATCCCTGCCAGGGACGGAGGTGCTCCCAGAGGCCCTGTCAGGAGCGGTGGCGCCGCCAGGGGACGTCCAAGAGACCGGGAGCTCCAAGTGGCCCTCCCACAGACAGCGGTGCCCCAAGGGGCTCTCCCAGGGACCGACGCGCCCTGGGACCCTCTCAGGGGCGGTGGTACCCCAAGGAGCGCTGCCAGAGCCAAGGACACCGCCAGGGGCCCTGCCAGGGGCCCTGCCAGGTGCCTCGATGCCCCCAGGAGCCATTCCAAGAAAAACGGCGCCCCAAGGGGCCCTTCCGGAGACCTCAGCCCACCAAGGGGCACTCCCAGTGACAGCAGCAGCCCCAGGGGCCATCTCAGAGTCAGTGGTGACCCCAGGGGTCCTCCTTGGGCGGTGATTCCCCCAGGCGCCCTCCGAGGGTCCCAGCCAGGGGCTGTGGACCCCCCTAAAGGGCCCTTCCAGGTTCAGCGGCACATATTGCATACATCCAGCAATCCCTTACTTAACTGTGATTGGTGGACTAAAATGTAAATGCAAATATCAGCCAATAGGAGAACAGAGCAGTCAGTCAGCACAACACCCCAACTTATGCTTTGCTGTTGAATATTTATTCTCGTTTCACTATTTAAACTCTGGGACATATGACGTTAAATAAAAATACACACTGCCCATAGCATTTTCAGTATTATCGCAACCTGAACAATGAAAAGGAGAATAAATATCCAACAGCAAAACATAAGTTGGGGTGTTGTGCTGACTGATTGATCTGTTTTCCTATTGGCTGTAATTTGATGACGTTACCTCTTATTCCACCAATCGCAGTTAAGTAAGAGATTACTGGAAGAATACAATATGTATGACACCACTATCCATTGTTTTGGGGTGCCGCCTCCCCTAGGAAGACCTATTGTGAGCCAAAGGCCTTGGCAGGGTCCCTGGGAGCAGTGGCGCCCTATAAGGAGGCCTGGGGGGAGCCACCGCCTCTGGAAGGGCCCCTAGACGCCACCGACGTTGGCAGGGCCTCTGGGAAGACCACGGTCCCTAGGAACGTACCTGGAGGCTCCCTCGTCCCTGGAAATGCCCCAGGGATCATTTCTGTTCCTGTGAGGGCCGCTAGGGTCGCCCGTGCCCCTAACAGGGCCCAAGGGGGCGCCGCCGTCCCTGTGAGGCTCCCTAGGAGCGTTACCGTCCCTGCGACGGTCCCTTGGAGCGTTGCCGTCCCTGAGAGGCCCATGGAAGCTCGGCTGTTCCTGGAGGAGCCCCTGTCGACGCCGCTTTCCCTGAGAAGGCCCCTAGGATTATAGTTGTTCGTAAGACCGCCCCTGGTGGATCCAGCGCCCCTGACAGGTCCCCTGGGGGCACCGCCGACCCTCAGGGGGCCCTGGGGGCGCCTCCGTGCCTGGCATGGCCAAGGGACCCTCACAGGAGTAGCGGCGATCCCAGGGTCCCTTACAGGGACGGGGGCGCCTTCAGAGGTGTTCCCATGGACGTAGGCGCCCACAGGGGCAATACCACAGCGATGGCGCATTCAGGTGCCCTTCCAGAGGCGGTGTCTCCCCCAGGGTCCCTCTGTGGGGCGCCTCTGCTCCCAAGGAACCTGCCAGGGGCTGCGGCGACCCTGTGGGACCTCCAAGGGCCGGCGGCGCTGGTATGGGCCCTCCTAGTGGCAGTGGGTGCCTTTCCAGGGACTGCAGGGTCTCTTCCAGGGCGACGGCGCCCCCAGAGGCTCTTCCACATGCGGCATCGCCCCAAAAACTTCATAGATTTTTCGTACATTGTGCATTCGTCCAGTAATCGCTTACTTAAACGTGATTGGTGGAGTAAGATGTGACGTCATCAAATTACAGCCAATAGGAGAACAGAGCAGTAGATCAGCACAACACCCCAACTTATGTTTTCCTGTTGGATATTTATTCTCCTTTTCATTATTCATGGTGTGATGATACTGGAAATGCGATGGGCGGAGTATTTTTTCATATTTTCCATTGTTGTAAATATGCAAAAACAACTGCCCCCACGGTCAATACAGTGATAGTGCGTCCTGGGGCCCTCCCATTTGCCCTACCAGGTGCGTCACCCTAGGGGCTCTCCCAGGGGTGTCGGTGCCCCCAGGGGCCCTGGCAAGGGTGGCAGCACTGCCAGGGGCGGTGGCGCACCCAGGGGCCCTCTTAGGCCATGGCAAAGGCCTCCTTAGTGGCAGGTGCCTTCAGCGGCAGGGTGTCTCCCAGGGGCGACGGTGTCCCCAGGGGCCCTTCCACATGCGGCATCGCCCCAAAAACTTCATAGATTTGTCGTACATTTTGCATTAGTCCAAAAATCCCTTACTTAAACGTGATTGGTGGAGTAAGATGTGACGTCATCAATTACAGCCAATAGGAGAACAGAGCAGTAAATCAGCACAACACCCCAACTTATGTTTTCCTGTTGGATATTTATTCTCCTTTTCATTATTCATGGTGTGATGATACTGGAAATGCGTTGGGCGGAGTATTTTTTCATATTTTCCATTGTTGTAAATATGCAAAAACAACTGCCCCCACGGTCAATACAGTGATAGTGCGTCCTGGGGCCCTCCCATTTGCCCTACCAGGTGCGTCACCCTAGGGGCTCTCCCAGGGGTGTCGGTGCCCCCAGGGGCCCTGGTAAGGGTGGCGGCACTGCCAGGGGCGGTGGCGCACCCAGGGGCCCTCTTAGGGCCGGCGGCGCTGGTATGGGCCCTCCTAGTGGCAGTGGGTGCCTTTCCAGGGGCGGCAGGGTGTCTCCCAGGGGCGACGGTGTCCCCAGGGGCCCTTCCACATGCGGCATCGCCCCAAAAACTTCATAGATTTGTCGTACATTTTGCATTAGTCCAAAAATCCCATACTTAAACGTGATTGGTGGAGTAAGATGTGACGTCATCAATTACAGCCAATAGGAGAACAGAGCAGTAGATCAGCACAACACCCCAACTTATGTTTTCCTGTTGGATATTTATTCTCCTTTTCATTATTCATGGTGTGATGAAACTGGAAATGCGATGGGCGGAGTATTTTTTCATATTTTCCATTGTTGTAAATATGCAAAAACAACTGCCCCCACGGTCAATACAGTGATAGTGCGTCCTGGGGCCCTCCCATTTGCCCTACCAGGTGCGTCACCCTAGGGGCTCTCCCAGGGGTGTCGGTGCCCCCAGGGGCCCTGGCAAGGGTGGCGGCACTGCCAGGGGCGGTGGCGCACCCAGGGGCCATCTTAGGGCCGGCGGCGCTGGTATGGGCCCTCCTAGTGGCAGTGGGTGCCTTTCCAGGGGCGGCAGGGTGTCTCCCAGGGGCGACGGTGTCCCCAGGGGCCCTTCCACATGCGGCATCGCCCCAAAAACTTCATAGATTTGTCGTACATTTTGCATTAGTCCAAAAATCCCTTACTTAAACGTGATTGGTGGAGTAAGATGTGACGTCATCAATTACAGCCAATAGGAGAACAGAGCAGTAAATCAGCACAACACCCCAACTTATGTTTTCCTGTTGGATATTTATTCTCCTTTTCATTATTCATGGTGTGATGATACTGGAAATGCGATGGGCGGAGTATTTTTTCATATTTTCCATTGTTGTAAATATGCAAAAACAACTGCCCCCACGGTCAATACAGTGATAGTGCGTCCTGGGGCCCTCCCATTTGCCCTACCAGGTGCGTCACCCTAGGGGCTCTCCCAGGGGTGTCGGTGCCCCCAGGGGCCCTGGCAAGGGTGGCGGCACTGCCAGGGGCGGTGGCGCACCCAGGGGCCCTCTTAGGGCCGGCGGCGCTGGTATGAGCCCTCCTAGTGGCAGTGGGTGCCTTTCCAGGGGCGGCAGGGTGTCTCCCAGGGGCGACGGTGTCCCCAGGGGCCCTTCCACATGCGGCATCGCCCCAAAAACTTCATAGATTTGTCGTACATTTTGCATTAGTCCAAAAATCCCTTACTTAAACGTGATTGGTGGAGTAAGATGTGACGTCATCAATTACAGCCAATAGGAGAACAGAGCAGTAGATCAGCACAACACCCCAACTTATGTTTTCCTGTTGGATATTTATTCTCCTTTTCATTATTCATGGTGTGATGATACTGGAAATGCGATGGGCGGAGATATTTTTTCATATTTTCCATTGTTGTAAATATGCAAAAACAACTGCCCCCACGGTCAATACAGTGATAGTGCGTCCTGGGGCCCTCCCATTTGCCCTACCAGGTGCGTCACCCTAGGGGCTCTCCCAGGGGTGTCGGTGCCCCCAGGGGCCCTGGCAAGGGTGGCGGCACTGCCAGGGGCGGTGGCGCACCCAGGGGCCCTCTTAGGGCCGGCGGCGCTGGTATGGGCCCTCCTAGTGGCAGTGGGTGCCTTTCCAGGGGCGGCAGGGTGTCTCCCAGGGGCGACGGTGTCCCCAGGGGCCCTTCCACATGCGGCATCGCCCCAAAAACTTCATAGATTTGTCGTACATTTTGCATTAGTCCAAAAAATCTTCTAAACGTGATTGGTGGCAAGATGTGGTCGTCATCAATTACAGCCAATAGGAGAACAGAGCAGTAGATCAGCACAACACCCCAACTTATGTTTTCCTGTTGGGTATTTATTCTCCTTTTCATTATTCATGGTGTGATGATACTGGAAATGCGATGGGCGGAGTATTTTTTCATATTTTCCATTGTTGTAAATATGCAAAAACAACTGCCCCCACGGTCAATACAGTGATAGTGCGTCCCGGGGCCCTCCCATTTGCCCTACCAGGTGCGTCACCCTAGGGGCTCTCCCAGGGGTGTCGGTGCCCCTAGGGGCCCTGGCAAGGGTGGCGGCACTGCCAGGGGCGGTGGCGCACCCAGGGGCCCTCTTAGGGCCGGAGGCTGGTATGAGCCTCCCAGGCAGTGGGTGCCTTCCAGGGGCGGCAGGGAGGTCTCCCAGGGGCGACGAGGTCCCCTAGGCTCCTTCCACATGTGGCATCGCCCCAAAACTTCATAGATTTGTCGTACATTTTGCATTAGTCCAAAATCCCTTACTTAAACGTGATTGGTGAGCAAGATGTGACGCCATCAATTGGCTGCAGCCAATAGGGAGAACAGAGCAGTAGATCAGCACAACACCCCAACTTATGTTTTCCTGTTGGATATTTATTCTTTTTCATTATTCATGGTGTGATGATACTGGAATGCGATGGCGCATTTTTTTCATTTTCCATTGTTAAATATAAAACAACTGCCCCACGGTCAATACAGTGATAGTGCGTCCTGGGGCCCTCCCATTTGCCCTACCAGGTGCGTCACCCTAGGGGCTCTCCCAGGGGTGTCGGTGCCCCCAGGGGCCCTGGCAAGGGTGGCGGCACTGCCAGGGGCGGTGGCGCACCCAGGGGCCCTCTTAGGGCCGGCGGCGCTGGTATGGGCCCTCCTAGTGG